CCTCGTCGGAGAGGGCGCCAACATGCCGCGGGTGAAATCCATCTAAGCTCTGGGCGGTGTGGCGGCTGAAGCTCAGGGGCGCTTTCCGAAGTTCATCAACGCTGGCCCGAGGGAAACATTGACGATCAGGAATCCAGGCTTCAGGAGGCTTCAAGTCCGCTCCCCAGAATCTTCCCAACGTCTGAGCTTCATCCTCCAGAAGGGCGTGAGGATCCGCAGTAAACACTCCAGGCGCACTCTGGATAACTGTCGGCTGCCAAACCTTTTTCAGCTTCGTAAAACGATGCATTATCCGAGCTGAGCCAGCGAGGGCCCGTTCCTGCCAGAGGTCCCACGACTCCCGCTGTATTCGATCCCCATCCGCCCCAGCTTGCTCATAATCCTCACGAACATCCTCTAACAACTGCTGAGCTAGCTCAAGCCACTCCTGCCGATGGAAGCTGCTGTGGTGTTGCCAGCTCCTCGCCAGAGTGCGCATAGCACGGAGGGGGGCATCAAGGCGCACAGACAGGCCTTCGCCAGGGCAGGAGTCCTGGAGCGATACCTGAAGCTGGATGCAACACTGCACGGCATCCTCGGTCGCATCTTGCACCGTCAGGGTAAATTCTTGAAAAGACTGGTACAGCCACCTCCAACCAGCAACGATCTGGAGCTTATCCTCAGGATCCTTCGGGCGATAGAAAACTGAAACCCAGGACGACTTGATCGTTCGCGAACGCTCACCCAACTCCTTCGGCTCGAAACCTAAAGTGCGGGTAAGCTCCAGCTCGGCGACATCCACAAACTGCGCCCATGCATTATTTAAAACACTCCAGGCCACCGTGGCCTTCTCGTGCATGGCCCAAGCCGCTGCCTGCGCAGCATGAGCAAGAGCGCCTTGCCACGCTGGAGGTTGAGGCCGCGGTCCGAAAGGCACATCAACAGGGAGACGCTGATAGCTACGATACACTAGCTGCCTGAGGGAAAGAGCATCTGCACGAACCTTGAGTTGGACAGGTCTGTGGGGCTTGACATCCCAAGACATGACCGCTGCAACTCCAGAAATCAATCTAGACAAACCGGGGCCCATGACGAAGAAATCAATAATTGTGTTCGTAGACGGGGTACGACACGTGTGCTCAATCGGCGCCAGAACCAACATCCCCAGCTTGCGTGGAACTCCAGAAGCCTCCAGAACCTGTTGTGTGAGATTCCAGTCCCCCGCGAGGATCGTATGAGTTGGGTCATTCACCTGCTTACCTATCTTCGCGATCATCTGGACGTTGGCCTCGCTGAGGCCCTCCGATGTCTTCAAATAAACCGAGAAAACCGTCACCGTGGGCCATCCAGGAAAGTCCGCCAGAACCTTGATAGCTCGTCCAGGAACGACTGGGCCAGGACCTTCTGGAGGCCATCGTAAACCAATGCTGAGCCGTGCGAAGACGGCGACACCGCACGAGACCTTGCCTGTCTCAGCGTTCAGGAACGAGGGGCCGAACAGGGCGTGGAAACCGAGCGAGCGTGCCGAGGCCGTCGCTTGTCCCAAGAAAGAAACGCTGATGCCTATTTCCTGAGCGCACACTATCACCGCCGAAGTCTCTCGTAACCTTCTCCGAAGTGTCTTCCAACACGAACCGTTGAACGTCTCAATAAAAAACGGGTCCCCACTGGCCACCTTGGGGCCTCCACGAAGAGGCGGCACAGGTACACCAGCAGAGGACAGCGGAATGCCTGACAAGAGGGGCGCACGGCAGCAGTGAAGGGCGTCACCCGCACCGCTGCTTCTTCGCCCTGATACCAAACTGCTTGAGTAGGTCCGCGACCTCCTTCTCGTGGTCGGGGCCCTCCTTCCGCGCCGCGGCGATGACCTGCTGCACCTTCTCGTCGGAGAGCTCTTCCATGTCCACATCGTCATCACCAGCACTGACCTCGGCCGCTTCGGGAGCGGCTCCTGGGGCTGCACCATGTCCGCCACCAGGAACCCGAGGAGCGGCCTGCTGCTGGGCACGCGCCGCTGCCGCCTTGGCCGCATAGAGCTGCCTGAACTTGGCGAACTCGGGCGAAGCCAGCATCGTCTTGACCCCATCCGCCTCGGGGCCCTCGAGCACGCTCGGGTCCAGCTCAAAGTCGACCTCCACCTGCTGCTCGGGGGCCGAGGGCGCCACCTGCTGCATCGCCGCCTGCAACTCGATCTTGAGCGCGTCGATGTCCACGCGCAGACTGCGCTGTCGGTCGTTGAGCTCCGCCAACGCCCGCTGCGCCTCCTCCACAACCTTATTCTGCTCCACAATTGACTTGTCGAGAGCCTCGAACTTCTTCTGCTTGTCCGCCAGCTTGTGGCCCAACGTGGTGGCGCGGGACAACACTGGCTTCTTGGACTGCACCTCCGCCTGCGCCGCCTTGAGCTCACCCTCCACGGTCTCAATGGCCGACGCTGGTACTCCATCGCACTTACGAAGAGCCTGCAGGGACTCCTCCAAGTGCTGCACTCTAACACGTAGTTTGTCATCATCCGAAGGCGGTGCGGCTTGAGCGTCGGCGCCACCACCTCCAGCCTGGGCCGAGCCGCCGCCTCCCCCTCCGTTGGCCGCGACACCCGCGGGAGGGCTCGACTTGGCGGCGACCTTCTCCATGATACGCTTCTCCATGGCTGCCAGCTGGCCTGACAGATCGGCTGGGGGGCCCTTGGCCCACGCACCGCGAGGGCCGCGAGGCTGCCCAGGAGGTACGCCAGGAGGAGCACGAGCCGATGGGCCCAGAGAGGCAGCTGCGGTGCGCGCGCGCTCCACACTGGCCCTCGGGGCTGACTGCCCGCAGAGGCAACGTATCCGACAGGCGAAATTCTGGTTCCTGCCACAACTTGGACACCCCCAGTAGGGCGATCGGGGCCCTGGGAGTACATCCGCCTCATCACGTCGAGCCATGCACAGCACAGCTTGTCACAGGAATGCTTGCTCCACCAGGAGCTCACAAAGAGATTCCGAGCCACAAAGACCCGCAGGAGCGGCTGCCGCTCTGAAGACAGCTCCTGCAAGCCCAAAAACTTGGGCCAGAACGGCTGGGAGGAGGAGGAAGAAGAGGAGGAGCAGGAGGAGGAGGAGGAAGAAGAGGAGGAGGAGAAAGAGGAGGAGGGGGATGGGGGAGGAAGGGGGAGGAAGGGGGAGGATGGAGGAGGAGGAGAAAGAGAGGAGGTAGGGGAGAGGAAGAGGGGAGGAGGAGGAAATGACAAAAGTCAGGACGGGAGGGTCTGCTCGCAGTTTGCGGCACCGGGGGCGCCCTCGCCGGGGGCCCCCCCCCCCCCCTCGGGGCCCGTTCAAGAAGGGCTCGTGACGAGGGCCGGTCCCCCGGGGACTGGGTCGAGACCCTCCTCCTCCTCCTCCTCCTCCTCCTCCCTCCTCCTCCCTCCCCCTCCTCCTTCCTCCTCCTCCTCCTCCTCCTCCTCCTCCTCCTCCTCCTCCTCAATGGGTCGAGACCTCTGGGGGGGGGGCGCCGTCCTGGAAGCATCGGGGCGTCGCATGCCTGGAAGGGTTTCCGCAGCGGGCGTTGCCGTCCAGGCTCGCGCCCCAGGGCGCTTCCAGCACGACGGGCGTCTTCGCCCAGGCTCGAGCCCCGGGGCCCTCGCAGATCGATCCGGCTCGAAGCATGGCGCGGACACAAGGGCTCCCACGAGGGTGCGGAGTTATTCGCGCTTCGCGGTCCTCGTTCCTTCTCCCCCTCCTCCTCGTCCTCCTTTTCTCCCTTGGGGGGGGGCGGCGCGAGAGCGCGAGGTTATTCGCACTTCGCGCTTCGCGCAGCGCGAAACGCGAAGTTGGGAGCCCTTGGGGAAGGTGGGATCTAGACTTAGAAGTCGGGCCTGTCCCTCTACAGGAGGAGCATCCCCAAATCGGAACAAAAACAGTCTGGGGAGGGCGTGGAAAATTCCTCGAGCGGTCGTCTGGGGGCCTCCCTGCGCACCGCCTGCGGCCAGCTCCCCGCAGCCCTGCCGGTGAGGGCAGCCGCTCGGCATCCGCGGCCGCAGGGCGCGACCGGAGCACATCGGGCAGACGGTCGCGACATTCTGGCCCGCGTGCCGCGCCGCCAGCGTGCAAGCCCGCCACGCTCCTCCTCCTCCTCCTCCTCCCTCCTCTCCCTCCTCCTTCCTCCTCCCTCCGCCTCCTCCTCTCATCACACTCACTCTCTCCGTCTCCCTCCTGACCTCCTCCTCCTCCTCCTCCTCCTCCTCCTCCTCCTCCTCCTCCTCCTCCTCCTCCTCCCCCTCCTCCTCCCGCTCCCGAGCCTTCCCGAGCACCCCGCCCCGCGGAGAGGAGCGACGAGCCGTCCGCCCTGCGAGGCTTGGCGTGTCTCGCGGGGGCCGGCGCTGCGACACGCCCTCGACAAGTTCCCGACCGTACAGCACTTGATGACATGACGTTCAGACCCCTCGCTCTGCAACCGCGTGGGCTCGGCGTCACACCAACACACGAGTACTACATGCGCGTCGCCCCCCAGGGGCGACGGGCGCGCCGAAAAGGCTTCTGGTATCTGCCTCGCGGTGGGCGGTTTCTGGCCCTGCCGCTTGGGAAACGAGATGCCACAAGATGAGTGCAGTGGATGTTCGGGTCGGACGCACGCCTGCGAGGAGGACACCTAGTATACGTATGTCGTTACACGTCCCATAGGCGGGAGGAGGAGGAGGAGGAGGATGGGGGGGGGGGGGCGGAGGAGTAGGAGGAGGACGAGGAGGAGGAGAGGAGGACGATGAGGAGAGGAGGAGGAGAGGAGAGGAGGAGGAGGAGGAGGAGAGGAGGAGGGGAGGGGGAGGGGGAGGTGAGGGGAGGGGGAGGGGGGAGGGGATGGGGTGGAGGAGGAGGGGGAGGAGGAGGAGGAGGAGGATGAGGAGGAAGAAAGGGCGAGGACAGGAGGAGAGGGAGATGAGGAGAGGAGGCGGAGGAAGCAGAGCAGGAGCAGAGCGAAGGGAGGAGGGGGAGGAGGAGGAGGAGGAGGAGGAAGAGGAGGGAAGCGAGCTTTGGGGGCCCGCACCAGGTCGAGTACTGGGACGAAACGTACGCGGCGCACTCCCGGCCTTGGGACACCCTGTACGGCTTTTGGGGGCGCCCAAATCATCATCATCATCATCATCATGATCATCATCATCATCATCATCATCATCATCATCATCATCATCATCATCACCATCACCATCATCATCATCATCATCATCATCATCATCATCATCAGCATCAACATCAGCATCATCATAGTCATCATAGTCATCATAGTCATCATAGTCATCATCATCATCAGTAGCAGCAGCAGCATCAGCATCATCATCAGCATTATCAGCATCATCGTCATCATCAGCGTCATCTGCACCATCCATCGTCAGCAGCATCGTCATCACCATCATCAAACAGCATCATCGCCATCGAATCCTCCTCATCATCCTCATCCTGATTCTCGTCCTCGTCCTCGCCGTCGTTTTTGCCCTGGTCGTCAGGATCGTCGTCGTCGTCGTCGTCGTCATCATCAGCATCATCATCATCATCATCCTCATGGCACCTCAGCAAATTCATCATCATGATCATCATCAGCATCAGCATCATCATCGTCATCATCGTCATCATCGTCATTACCAGCTTCATCATCATCAGCATCATCAGCATCATTATCACCGTCATTACTATCATCAGCAGCATCATCATCATTAGCAGCAGCATCATCATCAAACAGCATCATCATCATCATCATCATCATCATCATCATCATCGAAATTCTCATCATCATCCTTATCCTCATCCTCATCCTCGTCCTCGCCGTCGTTGTCGTGCGTGTCGTCAGGATCGTCGTCGTCGTCATCATCAGCATCATCATCGTCATCGTCATCGTCATCATCATCATCATCAAACAGCATCATCATCATCATCATCATCATCATCATCATCATCATCTTCATCATCATCTTCATCATCATCATCATCATCATCCTCATCCACGTCCTCGCCGTCGTTGTCGTCGTCGTCGTACGAGTCGTCGTCGTCGTCGCCGCCTCCGTCGCCGCCGTCGTCGTCATCGTCGTCGTCTTCATGGGCATCATCATCGTCATCACCATAATCAGCGTCATCAGCATAATCAGCTTCATCTTCGTCATCGTCATTGTCATCATCCTCATCATCATCATCACCATCACCATCATCATCATCATCATCATCATCATCATCATCATCATCATCATCATCATCATCATCATCATCATCTTCATCTTCATCTTCATCTTCATCTTCATCGTCATCGGCGTCGGCGTCGGCGTCGGCATCGGCGTCTTCGTCGGCGTCGGCATCGGCATCGGCGTCGGCATCGGCGTCGGCGTTGGCGTCGGCGTCGGCGTCGGCGTCGGCCTCGGCGTCTGCGTCGTCGTCGTCATCATCATCATCATCGTCATCTTCGTTATCAGTATCATCATCATCTTCGTCGTCGTCTTACTCATCATCATCATCACCACAACCACCACCACCATCATCGTCGTCATCATCACCCTATTACCAGCAGCATCATCTTCCTAATCATCATTGTCATAATCATCCTTATCCTCATCATCATCACCATTATTAGCATCTTCTTCATCATCATCATCATCATCATCATCATCATCATCATCATCATCATCATCCGCAGCATCACCATTATCTTCATCGTCATTGTCATCATCAGCATCATCCTCATCCTCATTCTCGTCCTCGCCGTCGTTGTCATCGTCATCGTCATCATCACCACCATCATCATCATCATCATCCTCATGGCACCTCAGCAAATTCATCATCATGATCATGATCATCATCAGCATCAGCATCATCATCGTCATCATCGTCATCATCGTCATTACCAGCTTCATCATCATCATCAGCATCATCAGCATCATTGTCACCGTCATTACTATCAACAGCAGTATCGTCATCATCTTCATCATGATAATCATTATCATTATCATCATCATCATCATCATCAACAACAACACACCATCTTCAATGACCAGGGGTTCTCCCTTGTAGGGTTCCGGACGTTTTTGCAGGTTCTTGAAGGTATGATCGCCTCGGGGTGCTTTCCAGCAGCAGCGCCTCGTCGAGGGCTTTCGGGGGGTGCCCAGGTCGTCCCGAGCGAAGGGCCGCCAGAGGTCCGAATTATGGTCCGAAAACCAAACGGCGTGGAAGAGGTGGGTAATGATGGCTCGCGGGGTGAGGAGATCATGGCCCGGGCCGTAGCGTCTCCGCGGTTTTCATGGCTCCGTCTTCTTCTTCTTCTTCTTCTTATTCTTCTTCTTATACCTTTTTCTTCTTCTTATTCTTGGTACTACTATTATTATTTCTAGTATTGTTATTAGTATTAGTTGTCCCCTTCTTCTTTTGATTATTCTTCTTCTTCTTTCAGCACGCCTTTTGGCCCCACCCGGGCCGCGCACGCGCCAGGCGTCCGACGATGTGATTTTTGTCCAATCCGCGGCCACAGAGGCCTCGTCGACTCCTTCCCGGAGGTCATGTTCTCGTCCCTGACTTGGGCGTTGCGTACTGGAGGGGTCATAAATGGAGGGGTGGCGAGGGTGGTCCGAAAAGGTACCCAAACGGTACCTACACGAGCCCCCTGGGGCTCCGGAGGGGTTCGAAAGGGGCACGAAAGGGGACCGTTTCTGACACTCCCGTTTATGACCCCACCATTGAGCCACGCCCAACTGACCCAATCTTGATCGTCCAAAGGCCCGAGAAGGACACTTGGAGGCCGAAAGCCAGGAAGCTGCCCAGATTGAAGAGATCAATCCTTCGGATCTCCTGGGTGCATCGGGTCACGCCGTGCGTTGCGGAGGAGGAGGAGGAGGAGGAGGAGAAGGAGGAGGAGGAGGAGGTGCGGCCTCATTGGGGCCCCCCGATCGCCCAGCGCGATGCGATCGTAGCGTCTGGCGCGCCTGTGTTTGGGCACTCCGCGGCCCCCGAAAAAGCTGCGCACCGAAGGCCAGGGGCAACGATGGGGGGGGGGGGGGGGATGGGCACAGGGGGAATACGCCTCGACCACCCATCGCCCATGGATCGCCGGGAGGGGCCTGACAGCCCCAGCCCGCCCAGGAAGGGTGCGGATTCGCCGTCGGGGGCCCATCGACGATCCGGGCACAGGGGGCAACGCCTCGACCCCCCATCGCCCATTGATCGCCGGGAGGGGCCTGATAGCCCCAGCCCGCCCAGGAAGGTGCGGATTCGCCGTCGGGGGCCCATCGCCGATCCCTCGGCGAGGTGTCGCCGATGCCAGGTCGATGCTCCCCCCCCACGCGCTGCCCGGCGCTGCCCCTCGAGAGGCCCCTCGTGGCCTCCTCCTCCTCGTCCTCCTCCTCCTCGTCCTCCTCCTCCTCGTCCTCCTCCTCCTCCTCCTCCTCCTCCTCGTCCTCCTCGTCCTCGTCCTCCTCCTCCTCGTCCTCCTCCTCCTACTCCTCGTCCTCCTCCTCGTCCTCCTCCTCCCTCGTCCTCCCTCGTCGTCCTCCTCCTCCTCCTCCTCCTCCTCCTTGGGCCTGCGCGAATTCCTGCTCCCCTTCGAGAGGCCACCGTTGCCCCATCGTTGCCCCCCTCGGGAGGCCACTCGTTGCCCCTCGAGAGGCCGCCCGTTGCCCCCCCCCCCACCGTTGCCCCTCGAGAGGCCATTCGTTGCCCCGGGTCGCTCTCGCGTGTGACCTCAAGTCGGGCCTGTCCCTCTACATCGGGGGCGGAAAAGAGGGGGGTGATGACTAGGGGGGGGTGGATATCATGGCGCGGGCCATGATATTTTCCCAGATTTCGTGGCGCCTCTTCTTATTTCATTACGTCCCTGGCCCCCCCGCTGGGCCGCGCACATGCCGCCGGTCATGATTTGCACCCCCCCCTCTTGGACACCCCCATTTTGGCCGCTCCCGATACAGGGGGAAGGTTCAAAAAGAGTAAACAAAGAGTCTGGGGACATTTTTTTGTTTTACCATCTCTGGGGCTTCTTTTGGGCATTGTTTGGGGCATCTGTAATTTCTCGCCCGCCATCCCCCTGTAGGGGGACAGGCCCGACCCCAGACCCCCGACGTGATGATTTTTTCATTGCGTCGACCCCCAGAGGTCCCGACCCTTTCCCCACGACCGGCCTTGCATCCTGAGTCGTTTGCTGACGCTCCCGAGGCCCGGCGAGGGCCGCCGGAGGCCGAAAAGTAGGAAAAACCTCCCGCCATGATTTTCTCATTACTCGAGGGGGGACAGGCCCGACTCCTCCTCCTCCTCCTCCTCCTCCTCCTCCTCCTCCTCCTCCGCCTCATCCCCCTCCGCCTCCTCCTCCGCCTCCTCCTCCTCCTCCTCCGATGGACGCCCCCGGGAGGCTACAGCGACATCCGCCCCGTGCTGCTCGACTTCTGCCGGGCGGTCGGGAGGCCGCTGGGCTCCCAGCCGCGGGTGCTGCACGCGGGCTGCGGCACCTCCAACGTCGCCGAGGGGCTGTGGGGGGACGGTGCTCGGCGGCTGCACCAAGGGAAGATTCCCCCAGGGGAGGAGCGCAGCACACCCATATATACAGATGTGTAGTCGAACATGCATGCATACATACACATCTGCACATGTATATACGCATGTCTATATCTATATATTTATATATAGATGTATATAGACACACACATATAAATGTATGTATATATGTACATATATATCTATGTATATGTATGCATATGTATAGATATGTTTATGTAATGTATATGTACATATCGAGTGGTGTGCACAAGTATGTGTAGATATACAACGTGGCCTACACATGTTTGGTTATACATATCGTGTGACCTATATATATATATATATGTATACACATTCCTCTTCCTATATTTTTACGAGCCCGGGCGGGGGGAAAGCCCGTCCCCCCCCCAAAAAAAACGGGCTCCCGGGATCTGGGGCTTTGGGGCCCTCCGGACGGGCATCGAAGCGGCGCCCCGGGCCTCGCAGGGCGTTTTGCCAGGCCTTCCCAGCACACCTAGGGCGATCGGGGGGCCATCGGAGACATCCCAGAGACCCCGAAGACAGCACAAGAGCGCTCCAAGAGTGACCGACGTGACCTCAAGACGACCCCCAAGAAGCCATCATATCCCCAAAGATCGTCCCGAAACGTCCCAATAGGCCTCCAAGAGCACTCCCAAGAAGGCCCCAATAGGCAAACATAATTGATTTTTGTTGGTTTTTGGTGACTTTCGGGGTTCTCCTCTGTTGGGCTTCCCGACGCTCCAAGACGGCGGTCTTCTGGGCGTCCGAAGCCGCCTGGGAGGCTCTACAATCGCCACATAACCATTCCAAAGGGCTTCCAGGCAGTCCAAGAGAGCCCCAAAACGGCACAACAGGGGTCCAAGATATCCCTCAGAGAGCCCCATGGCGGCCCAAGATGGCCCGAAAACACCCTCCGAAGCATTCCAAATCGTGACCCAGTCGTTCAGGGAGACCGCGGTTGGAGGCAGGGCGACCCGAGGAAGCCCCCAGAGGCCCCCAGAACACGCCCAAGAAGCCTCCAGAAGGCCTTAAGAAAGCTTGACGTAACTTTTGCGAGGCCCCCAGGGGCTCCCTGTAGGCCGCACCAACTCACTCGCATGATCACTGATCATAGTTTGCTGGCGAGAGTTGCCAGCGAGAAGCAAGGTTACTTGCGCGCGCGGGGCCACCTGCATTTCGACACCGAAGAGAGTGATCACGTCCCCTTGTGTATCCCTGGCCCTGGTGACACGCATGTCGTCGAGATTGGCGAGCTTGGTCAGTGTGCAGAACTATGCTTCGCAGCAGACATGTCTGAGGTCGCACCGATGGAACAGCAATGCCGCTTGCTGAATGACGATCGCGCCAGCGCGATGCGAGTATGCGTAGCCGTTGCATCTCACAGGTTGTCGCTGCCGAGGACGACGACCTCGCGGAGGCAGAAAACCAAACGAGCCCCGTAAAACAAACATCTCCGGAGCGTTATACATCTCATCCAATGCATGTTTTGACAAAAAAGTGCTTTGAGGTGCAAGAGATCGGAAGAGCGTCAAACATCGCGACATCGAGGCGCGCGCATACATGGAAATTTGTCAAGAACAAGACAGGTGAAATACAACGCGCCATCGGGGTGCGTCCGGCGCTTCGCGGAACCATGGGCGTCGAGGCCTTCGGCGTGGAGACCCTTTCGGGCACGGCCAGGCGCGCCAGCCAGAGGCCATTCGCTAGCACGGCCGTGCACGAGAAGTCGGGGATCACCGCGCCCATGGACGTTGACGCGGCTGTCTCTCGAAAGGCGTGGCCTACATCGAGTTAGCTGCAGCCGCTGGCGAGAACGAGCGCGCGGCGTGCTTCGCGTTGCCGCCTGGCTCAGCCACGGCGCTGAGAACGTGGCCGGGGGTCTAATCGCACGGCGAGTCGAAGCGCCGTCTGCAGCTCCGGAAACCAGGAAGCGGCAGAAAATATCCCCCCAGGGAATTCTCGCCAAAGCTCAAGAGCATCACGAGAGGCTTCGGCTTCAGACCTGCGAGCACGAACCTCTTGACAGCGAAGCGCGTCGATGACATTGACGTAGCAGGAGCCGAGGTCAAAATGGACAACTGCGTCAAACGCGCGGGGAACACGTTTGGAGCCTGTAAGGCGAACGAACAAAGTCACGCCAATTGCGCCAGCAGACGCGCCAAGACTGTGGGCGGCAGCGCCACGCTGGGCCAGGGTGAATTTTTCAAGCAGCTTCGCCCTATGCGACATCCCGAACTGACTGGAGCCGAAGCAGAAGAAACGGCGACGAAGCTTGTGGCGGGTCCGTTCATCTGCCGACGCGGGTCTCGAGCGCGCGCCCAGTCCAGATCGCGCAAGTCTGGTTACTGGCGCGCGGACTCTTTCCACAGCGACGACTCGACGCCACAGCGCGGAAACCGCGGTCGGGTCCCGAAGAAGCCGCGTAGCGAGCAATCGCAGTCGCTCCGACGGGAGAAAACGGGCCTGCGTGGCGCCCCCGGCGATCGCCGTCCCAGCGGCGATTGCCGGCGACGGAGCGAAGGGGGCTCGGCGCTGGCGGTGCCGACCTACAACTGCGCGGACACGCGCGCTGGGAGAGGGAGGGGGAGACGATGACGAGCAGGAGAGGCGGAAAGATCGAGGGGGTGATATGAGGAGGAGGAGGAGGAGGAGGAGGAGAAGGAGAAGGCGAGGAAGAGAAGGAGGAGGAGGAAAAAGAGTTGGCGAGAAAGCTGTTGTCCACTTGATGGAAGCGCGCAGTAGGTCGCGTCGACTACAGGTAGGCTCCAGCCACGAAGCTCAGACCCCTGCGGCCGCTTGTACGCGCGAGGACTCTACCCAACCATCGCCATGCCTCAGGAGGGAAAGAAAACACACAGACACAATTAATCGTCGACTCCCAGGAAAATATAAAAAAGGGAATTGGGGGGGAAGACAAAAACCCAGATAATATAGGAAAGTCTGGGGAATCTTTTTTATTTCTGTGCAGTTATTTGTGTGTCCCAGTTCCCCTTCAATTCCACGCGAACTCCAGGCGGGGCCACCTATGCTGACCCAGCTCGAGAATAGCTTGGAGATAGGTGGACTGCGCATCGAGGTGTCGCAAACCATTGATGCTGAGTCTGCGTTCGAGTCTTTATCCAGAAGGGCCTCGAGAAGCCCGCTGAACGTGCTGCGCTAGATCACATCGGTTGGATTAGTCAGATACTGGGGAGAGGTATCGTACATTGTGTACAGTGGTGTGATACACGTGTGCACGTTGCATATCAGCCGATGGGTACATCAGAGACTGCGTTGATCGTGCATTTCTTCTACATGCGATGGCGGGCGGCCCATCGCTCGAACATGAGGCGAAGAAGCACGTGCCATGCTGGAACAACCAGGCTGCTTTATTCGAGCCTGGCCCGAGGAGGGCCGGCGGCTGAAGCGCGTTACCTTCATCGCCAAATGTGTTCTTGCGCGCGGCCACGGGCCCGTCTTTTCGCGGCGCCCTTTTTACCATATCTTTCGCGAGGCCCCTCGCACATGCATGTTTCAATAGTTTGGGTGGGCTCGTCGTGTTGGCGTAGCGTCACTGGGCCAGCCAGAACAGCGTGGTTGCCCGCTGCGCAAGCTTCTGCCAGTACAGGTTGTACTTTATTATGTAGCTTGACGCGGCCCGTCGCTCGACCTTTCCCCTCCTGATTCTGAGTGGAGGTCACGTGCGAGTCTACAGCGACGCGCCTGCCTCCGCCGTCGTTCAGCTCCATCAGAGCGACTTCAATATGTGATTACTTCGTTTGCGAGGCATTTTCGCTTGCGACGAGCTGCGCGCATTCTTTCTAGCATGCACCTTCTTACATATTCCATCTCATGTTCAATTTCTCAGCTGCGCGTTCATGCCTTCAGTGTGGTGGAGTTAAGGGAACGCTTACGGCGTTGCAGATGGTCCAGCTTACCATATCTTTGTCGAAGCATCGGGCCATCTTGCTCGTTCCAACGACCCGCGGGGGATCCCGTCCAGGTCCAGGGGGCGCGGAGCAAGGAGGGGCGAACCCCTCTCCGATGGCGAAGACGGGGGTCGGAAGAAACAGCCGCTCTAGACCACTCGCGCCTTAATGGGCTGTTGGAATTGTGGGAGCTGGTCGGTTATCAAGTGGGATCATTCGCAGATTCACCCACCAGAGTTTGCTTAAGTGGCTTAGTTTCTAGACCGGAGGTTTTCACCTCCGCCGGAGTTCCAAGATTGGCTTGCCCTTTCGTGCGCGAATTTTTCTTCATCAATGATCGCGGCACCGACCTATCACAGTAACCGAGCGCGGGCGGTAATAAAGCACCACACCCCCTCTTTCCCCCTCTTATTTTTTTCCCGTTCAATAGGATCTAATTGTGGAGAGGGACGCGGAGGCCGAACTTTACAATCCACGGGAAAGTTGCGAATCGAAGTTGCTATCGTATCATGTTGACCAGCAACAGCATCAAAAACGCTAAGCATGGCCATGGTGGTCTCACCACACCAGCATCCGCAATCACGAGCGTGTGGCAGGGCTGTGGGATTCTCACCAGTTTGCCCACGTTACGAACGTGTGGCAGGCCCATGGGGTTCTCATGTTCCTTATCTTCATGATTCTTTTCCTTTTCCTTTTCTTCATTCTCTTTCTCCTCCTTCCGCCCCCCCCCAGGGTCCGAACTTTTTTATCCCTGGTGTTTTTTTTTTTTCCCCCCCGCGGGATCTCACCATGGACCCCCGCATGCGAGGTTGAAAACGATGTTTTCAGCAATGTTGTACACAGACAGAAGGCCCCGAAGTCATTTTTCTTTTGAAAATCGATCCTTGGGCCATCCTCTTCTCTCTTCCGTCTCCCACCATTATTATTCCTCTCTTCTTGCTCGTGTTCCTACTAGTAATATTACAGTCGACCCGCGTGGTAAGGATGAGCAATATTGTTATACCCTTACATTCTTGCCAGTTCGGTCCATCTCTGGGCCTTGCAAGGACCTTGCATATTTGCCGCGCATCTCTCGAGTGAGCCTTGTGCCGAGCGCCCAGGGTCACCATCATCATCATCGTCATCGTCACCCTCACCATCATCATAACTTACCTTCCCCGGGAAAATCTTTGATTATCCCCGCCAGAACCCCGAACTTCATTATCCCCAGGGGATTATTATCGCCCGTTGTGGGTTATCTATGCGTGGGTGTACTCATGATTGTTGTCGCCTTCGCAGTGGATTGGCAAGCGGCCCTCGGCTTCTACCACGATCTACTTGAGATAGCCCGATGTCACTCGACGGTGCCACTGATGACCCTTGTACTCTGGGACATGAGGCGGGCACCATCACTGTGCCATGCCAGCGGCGCTCTCACAGAAAACAAGGGGGCACCATTGCAGAGGGTGCGACCAGATTCGTTTCTCTTGTTCCCCACGACTGCGGGGAGGTCGTGGCCCTTGCCCACGCCGGCGCTCGTTCGTGAAGTCCTGTCCCAGACATACGACGTCATGATTTTTTCAGGACGGCGTCCCCGGAAATCCAGACCCTTTCCCCGGGACCGGTTTTTCATCCTGAATCGTTATTTGACAATCCTGGGGACTGGCGCGGGCCCCCCAGGGGCCGAAAACAGCGAAAAACTGTCGTCCTGATCTTGTGTAAGACGCGATCACGTCCCCAGAGATCCGACGTCGTGATTTTCTCAGGACGGCGCCCCCGGAAGTCCCGGCCCTTCCCCCGGGACCGTTTCCTCGTCCCGAGTCGTTTTGTTGACGGTGCCGAGGCCCGGCGAGGGCCCCCCAGGGCCGAGAGTAGCGCAACAGTTGTGTCTTGTTTTTTTTCACGGCGCGATCATGTCTGGGTGTGTCGCTTGAGCAGGGAAGCGGCGCCACCTGCAGCACAACGGCCCCAGACCCCCTCGAGTAATGAAAAAATCATGACGGGAGGTTTTTCCGAATTTTCGGCCTCCGGCGGCCCTCGCCGGGCCTCGGGAGCGTCAAAAAACGACTCAGGATGCAAAGCCGGTCATGGGGAACGGGTCGGGACCTTTGGGGGTCGACGTAATGAAAAAATCATTACGTCGGGGGTCTGGGGCCAGTACGATGCTCGACCTGGCGCGCGGCTGGACGCAGGCGTCGACCTCGTGGTGCTCCGCGCTCGAGGCGGTGCTGCCGCCCGGGCCCATCCGCGCCAGCTCCCACAGGGCGCCAGCTCGACCAGGGGCGCCCGCTGTGCCATTCGAAGGATTGCAAAAAAAAAAGGATTGCAAAAAAAACCCACAATCCTTCGTTCTAGGAGGGATTTTGCAAACGAAGGATTGCAAACATAAAGGTTGTTTGTTTTGCAATCCTTCGTTCAAGGAGGGAAGAAAACGCACACACACAATAACGCACAGACGCAATGAAGCGTCGATTCCCCTGAAAATATAGGAAAATATGGGAAGTGGGGGGGAAGACAAAAGCCCCGGAAAGATAGGCAAATGTGGGGAATCCTGCTACTTGTGTGTGTATTTTTTTGTGTGTCCCAGGGCCCCTTCACATTCGAGGCCGCGCCTGGTCCCTTCCCAGAGATCCAACGCATTGAGACAATCAAGACGGAGGTTTTTCCTGTTTTTCGGCCCCGGGGGGCCCTCGCCGAGCCCCAGGACCGTCAACCAAACGACGCAGGACGAGAAGCCGGCCGCCCTGAAAGAATCACGACGTCGGATCTCGGGGTTCCCAGACATCCAACGTCTCGATTTTTTCGAGACGCGGGCCCCCGACCTCCGGACCACTTCCCTGGGACCGGTTTTTCATCCCGAGTCGTTTTGACGTTTTGAGACGGTCCCGAGGCCCGGCGGGGGCCCCGAGAGGCCGAACACAATGAAAAACCTCCGTCTCGATTTTTTCGAGACGCCCAATGTCTGGGGTCCTGGGGGAATGGGTCGGGACCTCCGGGGGCGCCGTCCGGAAATAGTCACGACGTCGGAGGCGGGGTGTGCGCGCCCGCCTGCCAAAGGCAGGCGAGGATGGGTGTCCTCTAGGAGGAAGCGGCATCCAAGCCCGCACCCTATATTTTCAGGGTTTTTGTCTTCCCCCCCACTTCCCATATCCCTCGCCCTCCACCTTCCACACCTTCCGCGCGGCAGGTGCCGCGCCGCGGCGGACGCCGCCGCCGCCGAAACCGCTGCTGCGGCCTCGGCGGAAGCGGCATCCAAGCCGGCATCCTACAGTGAGCGGCTTGAAAAGGAACACTTGCTTTTCAAGAGGGGCTCGGTCGTTCCTTAGGTTTGCAGGCGTTTTTTACAGTTCCTTATGCGTTATTTGTTTTATTTATCGTTCCTTATGCGTTGTTTCTTGGGATAAAAAAGGGGCTTCGTTCCTTATTTCTCGTTCCTTAGGTCAGGCCGATGACCGTATATTTTCTGGGTTCTTGTCTTCCCCCCACTTCCCATATTTTCCCATATTCTCTGGGGAATCGACGATTCATTGTGTCTGTGTGTTTTCTTCCCTCGTCTCCGGCCCCTTCGGGCCTCCCGTGGGGGCCCTCGTCGCCACCGCCGGGCTCGCGCCTCGAAGCTCTGGTCTGCAGACCTCCTCGAGCAATGAAAAAATCATGACGGGAGCTTTTTCCTGATGTTCGGCCTCCGGGGGCCCTCGCCGGGCCTCGGGAGCGTCAAACAAAGACGACTCGGGATGCAAAGCCGGTCATGGGGAAAGGGTCGGGACCTCTGGGGGTCGACGTAACGAAAAAAACATTACGTCGGGGGTCTGGGGTCCGAGCCCAGAGATCCTATGTCGTGTTTTTTTGCAGGACGGCGTCCCCGGAAGTCCCGACCCTTTCCCCCAGGACCGGCTTCTCATCCTGAGTCGTTTTGTGATGGTCCTGGGGCCCGGCGAGGGCCCCCAGGGGCCGAAAATAGCGAAACATTTCCGTCCTGGGCTCGGCGATATCCACAGCCTCTTCCAGCTGGCCTCACGCACCTCACACCAGAGCCGTCGCGGTGCGGACCACTGGCCGGACCGAGCCGTCGTCGCGCCGGCCTGCAATTCCAGAGAGTAGGGATTGGGATTCGGTCGGGCTGGTCCCCCTGCAGGCAGATTTTCGACGAACCAGCAGAAATACGCCAAACGTATTCCAAAACTGTCGAAAAACAAAAATGCTCAAGAAATCGTCCCCATTGTATTGCGAAGGCCTTACGGCCGGTGCCGCCGACCCTGAAGACGACGAAGATGAGAACGAGCGTGGGGGGGGTAGGAGGCGCAGGAGGCGCAGGAGGAGGAGGAGGAGGAGGAGGAGGAGGAGGAGGAGGAGGAGGAGGAGGCTCAAGAAATCGTCCCCATGGTATTTTTTTGTGTTGAGGCTTAAGGTTGGGAGTCTCTGGCGCGCGCGCCGGCGTGGCGCTGCGGCCCGCCGGGTATAAGGCTCCACAGGCCTCGGCCTGCCAAGCGTGTGCGGGGAGCCGAGTCGACGCCTTGGGTCGGGCCGGGCGAAAGGGGGGGATTGGGAAAGGGGGGGTTACGATAGGTTCATGCGGCGATGGCGCGCCGGCGACACCGGCGAAAGCGTTCAAGGTTGAATTCCGCACGATGGAGCGACGCGGAAGCACCGAGGGACATGGTAACGCCACAGGACCCGGCAGGATTCAACTTTGAACGATCGGGGCCGCGATCGGTTCAAGGTTGAACGATCGAGACGGCGGCAAAAACCTTCGCGTGCGCCGACGCCGCACGAACTTACCGTACGAAATTTGCTGCATGCAGCTGGTTTCGGCCTCACCGAGGGGCCCATTCCTCGATACAGGGCCGCCTCCGGCGCCGGGAGGCGCCGGGAAAATCAGCTAATTACGCGAGCTGATTCTCACCCCCCCCCCTTTGCTATCCCCCCCTTTCGCCCGACCCGATTGGGGCAGTCGTGCCGATGCGGCGGCGATCCCGCCCCTGTCCCACGGTTAAGTCGGGCCTGTCCCCCTACAGGGGGATTTTCGACGGCAAATAACGAACACATCCCAAATAGTCAAAGGATACCCCGAAAATAGTCCGGGGACTCTTTTTTGAGTCTTTGTTGACCTTTTTGGAGTATCTGTTCGCCGAAAATCGCCCTTTTTGGAGTATGTTAGGGGAGTATGTTAGGGGTATGTTTGGAGTATGTTAGGGGTATTTGTTCGCCGAAAACCTTTTTGACCTTGGAGTGAGACCTTTTTGAGTCTTTGTTGACCTTTTTGGAGTATGTTCGGGGTATTTTTATCTGCTCGCCGAAAATCCCCCTGTGGGGGGACGCGCCCGCGAGGGCTTCGAGGCGGAGCGCCGACGGCGCCCTAGCGTCGCAGGCCTCGAGGCTGGCACCAACACCGGCATCGGCCGTGTGCCTCCACCGAGGAGCGAAGATCCCGATCTCGGTGATGTAAGAACGGTTTTTTGAAGGCAGATCTGCCTTCAAAAAATCGTTCTTTTTTGAAGGCAGATCTGCCTTCACCGAGGGGCGAAGATCCGGAGGTGGACAGAACCCCCAACAGTGACGCGTCGATTAGTGAATGGTCCGTTCTCGGTTCTCCTCCTCCTCCTCCTCCTCCTCCTCCTCTTCCTCCTCCTCCTCTGGAAGCGGCCCCCAGGGCGCCGAAGAGATGAATTCGTGGACGCCACGCTCCGGTGCGGCGACTGCCGCCCGCGGAGGAGGGCGCCGTGGCCGCTATTCTCCAGGCCTGCGCCCGCCAGGTTTGGGCCTCAGGCCGTTTTTACGAAGCCACGTTCTACTAAAGGGAGGTCTGTCCGTCCCCGAAAGATCCCGATCTCGGTGATGGTGTTTCCCGGCGGAGCCGGGTGAAATTCCGTGCCCGCCGGTGACTGACTGATTGACTGACTGCCCAGACCCCCTCGAGTAATGAAAAAATCATGACGGGAGGTTTTTCCTAATTTTCGGCCTCCGGCGGCCCTCGCCGGGCCTCGGGAGCGTCAAAAAACGACTCAGGATGCAAAGCCGGTCATGGGGAAAGGGTCGGGACCTCTGGGGGTCCACGTAATGAAAAAATCATTACGTCGGGGGTCTGCGGTGATGGTGTTTCCCGGCGGAGCCGGGTGAAATTCCGTGCCCGCGGCTGACTGATTGACTGACTGACTGACTGACTGACTGACTGACTGACTGACTGACTGACTGATCGACTGACTGGCCGTCAGGAGGGCACCTCGAACAGCACCTTTCAAACCGCCCGCGGGCGCGCAGCCGCAGCCGGGCGACACACTTCGACCCGTCCGCGGGCGCGCGACCGCAACCGCAACTGGGCGACACATTTCAAACCGCCCGCGGTGCCTTATAATTCAGGGGGAAAAAAAACACAGACACAATGAATCGTCGGCTCACAGGAAAATATGGGAAAAGATGGGAAGTGGGGGGGAGGACAAGAACCCAGAGAATATGGGAAAATATGGGGAATCCTGTTATTGCGAAGGCCTTACGGCCGGTGCCGCCGACCCTGAATGGCGACGATGACGACGACGACGACGACGACGACGACGACGACAACGACGACGACGACGAGCGCTCTTGGGGGCCTCTTGGGGGTAGTTTGTGGGCCTCTTGGGAAGCTCTTAGGGGCCGCTTGGAAGCCTCGTGGGGGCCTCTTGGGGCTTCCTGGGGGTCTCTTGGAGGAAGCCTGGGACGTCTTGGAGGCTTCTTGGACGGTCTTGGGGCTATCTTGGGCGTTTTCGGCCGATCTTTGGGCGACTCGGGGCCCTCTTGGGCCGTCTCGGGGGCCATCTTGGGCATTCGGACCTCATTTGGAGTGTTTTCGAGGTTTCTAGGCCGCCCGAGGAAAAACGAATCTGCCCCCCACCCCCCCACCCACACCCCCGGGACCCCCCCGGGACCCCCCCCCCGGGGAAGGGATCAAAGGGAAGGGGCTTCCCTTCGACTCGATTACGACACTGCTAGATTTTTCTCTCGCTCACGAGCTTGAGAAGGAAGCTGCAGGGAAAGGGGACGACGGAGGCGACGACCGACGGAGACGACGACTCGAACAGCCAAGCCCCTCGCACACGCCGACAGGGTCGGCGGATTTGTGTGAATTTATTCGTGTGTCCCAGGGCCCCTTCAATAATCGCAGGCCTCGAGGTTGGTACCAACACCAACGTCGGCGGTGTGCCTCCACCGAGGGGCGAAGACCCCGATCTCGGTGATGGTGGCAATCTTCTGGCTTCCAGGGTGGCCGAACCGCTACTACCAGCACCGAGATCTGGGATCATCTTCCCCCTGTGGCGGCGACCCCCTGTGTTGGTGTTGTTGCCCATTTCCAGGCCTCCAAAAATGCGTCAGACCTTCGCCTCGTCGTCGATGTCGTCGCCGTCGCCGTCGCCGTCGCCGTCGCCGGCGCCGTCGCCGGCGCCGTCGCAGTCTCCGTCTCCGTCGCCGTCGCCGTCGCTGGCGCCGTCGCCGGCGCCGTCGCCGGCGCCGTCGCCGTCGCTGGCACCGTCGCAGGCGCCGTCGCCGTCGCAGTCTCCGTCGCCGTCGCCGTCGCCGTCGCCGGCGTCGTCGTCGCGGTCGTCGTGGTCGTCGTCGTCGTCGTCGTCGTCGTCGTCGTCGTCGTCGTCGTCGTCGTTGTGCCAATGTGCAGCGATCTGCCGATCGAGAAGGCGCCGGTCGTTCCAGGCTGAAAACGATCCGCGCGGTGGCGGAGACCAACGCCGGGGCCGCCACGGCGCCACGGCATGAGCCTGCTGTCTACTCCAGGGCTGCGATCGCCCGTGTCCTCACGCGAGGCTCTCTCGCGAGTGCGTGCACGTCCGCCCTTGTTCGTTTTTTTTTTTTTGTTTTTTTTTTTGCTGTTTTTTTTTTTCTCTTCCTGGGAGGATAACAGCAGCCTCGGCGCTGGTAATTATCCGTGGTCCGAGGCAGGCCTGAGATGACACAGTCCCGCCGAATCCAGTTTGGTCCCGCTTAAGTTCCGGCTTGATCGGTTTCATCCGTGACTGCAGCATCGGCGCTGGTATATCCGTGATCCGAGGCAAGCCTGAGATGACACAGTCCCGCCGAATCCAGCTTGGTCCCGCTTAAGTTCCGGCTTGATCGGTTTCTTCATCCGTGCAGATTTGGCTGCGAAGACCTCCCGGGGGTTATCGCAGGCCTAGAGGTCGACACCAACATCAATATCGGCGGTTTGCTCCCACCGAGGGAAGAAGATCCCGACCCCAGTGATGGTGGTAATATTCTGGCCTCCAAGGTGACCGAACTATTACCACCAACACCGAAATCTAGGATCATCTTCCCCCTGTGGAGGCAACACCCTGTGTTGGTGTTGGTGCC